GGTATAGCATTTAGCCATGACTATTGTGAGGCTGGTTTCTGATTGCAATTACTGAGCGTGAACCTGTTGGGGATCTTTTCGGGCATACAATATGGAAAATAAAGAATAATGCAATTTATCCTTACGCAAAATCTACACTTCATCTGACGGAACTGCAGGCACGAATTCTCCCTTACATTTATTTCTTACGGTTCATACTTTCATCGCTCGGAATTTTGTATTATATACTTGATTGACTTTCTCTTCAGTTGTGAATAGGCATCTTTTGAATATCGCGTCTTCGAATTAATTTATTATTATTCAAATTTTTATTTAAGGCACAAGAAGAACGTGTGTGCTTACAAATGCTCGAATCCGTAATAAAAACAGATGGTTTTTATTACTCTAACTCGTATGATATAACGCATACTCTCCAACGTATTTCAGACAGTAGCCCTGATTTCAAGCAGCAAGGTATCTTCGAGAGAGTAGGTTTCATCATTTTGGATACACTTTTCATATATTTCTAAAAGTTTTTTAAATGGCACAGCTGTAAACCTTCATATTCTGTATTTAAATACATCATCATCATTAATATGCGTCTTATCCTAACTTAATAGTTATTTTTGCATTTTTTTAAAAACCGTTATATTTCTTTCCACCTGGGTCTAAAGCATTTTCTATTAACACATCACAGTGTGTTAAGCCATTCGCCTAAGCAAATTGATTCTTCTTAATGTTGATTTTAAAATAGGTTACATTTTACCTTGCAAGGCGTATTCATCATTATTTAAAGTAACTTTTTGCCTCTGTTTCAAAGAATTACGAAACTTAATCTTCTGAATCAGATCAAAAATCATCACAACTTCCTATACTAAGATTTATAGGGCAGCTGTGAATTCACATTTGTGCCTACATTAGGAGCTACTGTTAATAAAGAAAACTCGTATACATTATTGAATTCGGTACTTATTGCTGACTAACTCATTAGTCCTGCAATTTATTGGTGATGCACAGACAATGTATTCGAATGCTATTGAGGGGTGATTTGGCGGCCTTCGGGTAGTCTGATTCCTAGCTTATCTTGGATTGGGAGATCTTATTATGAATAATTCATATGTTAGTAAAGCAAATTCTACATGTTATTCATGAAAGGTCCGATCATAAGGCCTTTAATCGTAAATGACTATCATTTTAGTGTAGAATTATTGATTATTTCGAACCTATTATGTCTAAATAACTACTTTGCCTTTATTTTTTATACCTTATACATATGCGTGTACATATATAATTGTTGTATATCTTCTTTTTAATATTTTAACTTATAAAATCTCTAGTTTCAAGCTATATACTGAGCCTGCTCCCTAATACACTTTGAATTTTTCAATTTAATTTTGCCATTTATTAAGGTAATTTGCATAATCATACTACATAATTGACTCTACAACTAACATTTCTCTTAAGATTAAGCCTAGTACATGTATCATTTCAATTATTTCTCTTCGATAAATAAGTAATGTGGCCTCGGATAATGTTGACGTTGCGTTGACCGTTTTTAAGTATTTTAGTATTTGTGCGCTTACTATATTACAATATAAATCGTATGCAACTCTTCATATTCTTCATTTTTCTGTACGTAACATCATTTATGTAGCCTAATTTCATATATTATTTAGGCCGACGAAAGATTTGTCTGGAACCGCTTTATTTTGCAAGAATGGGCCTCTCAATTGTCTGCTGCTGCCTCTTCGCAAGGATTTATTCTCCCTAACACTAATCAAACCACCCTCTCTTGGATAGGCGAGTTATGCTTGCCTATTATCCATGGTTTCGCAGCTATACATTCTATCTGGCAGCACCAGGCCAATTCTTCCACTCCATTCATGGTGAAAGGTACTCAAGCTACAATATATGCTCTCATATCACGTCGTTGCACCTTCCGAGCTGGAACTCGATTTTTTACTCGTGGCGTTGATCAATCTGGCCACGCCGCCAACACAGTGGAGACAGAACAGATCCTTGTTGTACCGCCGCATCACCAATTCTCATTTACACAAGTAATCCATTTTTACCACTGAAGTCATCTTGTCTTTTCACTCAGGTGATTTCAAATCGTCTGTACTTTAGTTTTAACTAGATGATTTGGCAATCTCTTAAACTAACCTATGTTCTGAAATGGAAACTGCAAATCTATTCAACCGTTTAATTATTTTAAACAGTCATATTTAAATGCATCATTAGAATAAGGACATAGTCACCCTAGGTCGCTTATGATTTGAGGACTGATAGTGGAGTAAGCATTGTGGCGAATCTACCACCGCTACATGACCACTGATGCGTGGTTGACAGGGCAGATGTAGCATTCGAGGCAAGCCAAACCTGCCCTAAATCACATAGTAAGATTGCTTATGACAACAGCTCCTGTGTCTGTGTAACATGGAGGTAACGTCGCCAAAATATTGACGACTTAGCATTGATCCCATTAGGGATGCTGATTGGACCTTTTGTGAAACAGACCAAGTACAACTCAATGTCATCGTGAGGCTTATCCATATTATTGTGGGTAAACTCAACTACCGATCCTTTGATCATCTATAACGAATAACTAAGTCCTTATTCAAGAAATATTTATCGTCCTAAAGCCTTCTCATTGAATTTATTAGAATACACCAAGCTGCGGAATCGGAG